GCAGCTGCGCAAGCTGGCTGGCCACGCTCTCCTTCAGGGTAGTGCAACAGCGCCACGCCACTCCTCGCAGAAGCCCTGTACGCCACACTTTTTCTGGCGGCGGCGGATATAGCTGTCTGCCTGTCCGTTAGCCAGGGATAAAAAACCACGCCACCGGACATCCAAGAAAAACAAACACGACAATTGTGAGGATACTTGATGCATCTCATGCTAAGTGCTTGTGCCCGCTTCTGCGCGTTCCTCCACCCTACAAGAACGCACCTGCAACAGTCATCCAAAGATGCCAGCAAGCGTACGGATGGAGACTCGCGATTGCTTTTGGAAAGGCGCATTTGGCGGGTAGTGGCAGATGAAGGTAGGCAAAAGCAAGGTCTTCTCGTTATGCAAGTGTTGATTGAAATTCTAATCTCGATGCTGTGGTTCCGTGGGCCCGCCAAGAAAGTTTTGGCCCCACCTCTGCAGACAAACCGCAGCTGGACGCTCTCCACACCCTGCACCTCTCCTGTGCGAACTATGTGCTTCAACACTGCAGCGCAAATTTGAGTGAGACGGCATTGCTGCCGCGTTTTGTTGATTCGTGCAACTCCTGTAAGCATACGTCATCCAGAATGTTCGCAATCCTCTTGTCAACCCATTACTTTAAACATCTTCAAACTTGACCTGTTGTGACGGCTGGTAACACCAAATTGGACTATCCATTATGTTGGGATTTCTCTGCGTTCTGCAGCATATCCAGAAAAACGTGTGCGAATTGGCTTTACAAGCCTAGAGACCTGAAGTTCCAGAGCCGCCACTGCAGAAGTGGTCAAAAGCATGTCTGGAAGACCGAAACGATTCAGGAAACAATGATTCCACACATCAGGGGTGAGCATCATGCAAAAGACGTTCAAGAATGAGGTATTCATGACATGTTGATCAGATTGATTGAACTGGCCTCTGCGAACTCCATGCTCGTGGCTCTCAGTACACTGCAATATTGGGACGAAAATGCTTCTTTGAGAAGGCCCAAACCACTGTATGTACTGACCGTCGAAATTTAAATGTCCATATGCTGACCGTCAAGAGTAAACTGTCCATATGCTTGGTTGACATTCAGTGGCATCGTAGATGCTTTATCTTTCGCGAGTTCATGCAAACAGCACTTTCTTTAAAAAATGTATCGTGCACTTATACGGAGCTGCCACGAAGGATTTAAAGACTGGCATCTTCAGATTGTGAAACAACAGGATTCACAGGAGAAATCTGATATCGTGGTATACTTCATTACAAGTCACAGAAGAACTGCTGGGATTCGGCATGGTGAGACACATGCTGTCCTAGGTCTTCATAGCCGTGTAGATATACATCCTGCAGTTGCATACACGAACACAGGATACAGAAGAGGTTCATGCAGACAGCTGTGGCCTCGCAGTGAGGGTTAGCAAGAAGAAATGGAGTTGTGGGGAAATCTTCATTGAAAGCTCTTGGCGGCAAGGTTCTGAAGGGCATGCCATACGAACAAAATGGTTGGGATCTACAACTGCACTAGTTACAACCCAGAAGCTGTTTAGGGGATCTGCCTTCCGGTTCAAAATACCAATGGGGAAATCTCCATCTGCTGCTCTTTTGGAGGCATCTTCAATGAGTTGAAGCGAATGCAAACTAACAGCACCAAGAGCATCGCACGAAAAACGCAAGTCATAGCGGGTATTTAATTGTTGCAGACAGATATCTGGTGCAATTTTTACCCAAAGCGATGGGTCTAGCATGTTCAGGCAAAAAATAGATTTGCGCGGGTGCTACTTCTTTAAATGTTGGGGTGGCATCGTCTTGTATACAGCTGTAGTAGAATTCCTCGTAAAGTTCTGAGTTTTTTGCCAGCGCATTTAATGCGAAGGACGAAGGTAGTCCGGGATCTGCATTTGTGTAGGGGACATCTTTACCAAACTAAAGGAGTCTTCCTATAGAATGCAAAGACGTCTAAAGACATTGCCAAGTACACAGAGATTGTTTTGTCCACTTGAAGTGCTATGATTATCCCCCTTCAAGTTCATGAACCCAGCAGCAGTTTATGAAAGAGCCGGGGGGGGTCACCTCATAGGAACCGTAAAAAAAACAAACGATTATAGAATAGGGGGAACCATAGTTTGAAGATGTTTAGAGCGCATTCTTAACATCTCTTAACTGGCCTATATGGTCTTGAGTGAGCGCAATTGCCCCAACCTGCTCACATGCCTACTACCCCTTTACAAAGGATGGCCTTCCAGGATGCAGCCAAGGGGATGTGATATCCAGCATTGGTTCGAGGGAGGTAAACGAAAATAGGGCATGGTAGCACACGTATACATATTCTGTAATTGTACTGTTTATGGGCGTGGTCCCTGTATTCTTCTTTCAGCATGTGGGCCCATCATATCTTTGATGTATCTTTGTACTTCTTGATCTAAAGAGCTATCAAGCCATACGGATCCAAGTACCAGCGTTAGGTATAAGATCCGCACTTCATCTTGTTACCCCCTGAAGTGTCAAAGTGAGGGTGCCCTGCCCCCATTTTGTATAGTAGCAGCGGTGTTTTGTTTATTTTCTGAAATGGCAATAACATCAACTCGTGGCATGGATTCCTGCTATCAGGATACCCCCACACGTTTCATAAGGGGTATCTGACAATGAACCCCTCTCATCTGAACGCATGACATGAACGTGTAAGATGTTCATGTAAGTCCTCAGGCAAAGGTGCTGCTTTCTAGCCTCCATGTTCGAAGGGAGTTCTCGATGGGAATGACGGGGAATAAGATTGACCATTGTACGCCAACCTGTATGCGGGCGCAACACTTTTTTCGGGGTGGTCGGATGCACAGGGCAATTCACGCATGCGAAAACGTGACACATATTGCAAAAACAACTGCAAATAGAAAGCGATACTCAACAGGACATCCAGGGCGTCCTGGTAACAGTGCTTATTTCTTTGTTGTCTGGTCTTGTTTGTTGTTTGGGCGTTTCTTTTTTTTTGTTTGGGCGGTGTCGTTTTTTTGCTGTTTGGGCGGGGGTGGGGGCACCGCCCAAACAGCCAAAACATGCCAAAACAAAAAACACGCCCCCGCCCAGACAGCAGAAAAGTAAACACGCCCCCGCCCCTTCCCCATCTCTCCATGGAAGAATTTGATTTTCAGCAAAAAACAGAATCCCGCCCAAACAGCGTTGTTTGGGCCGGGAGCGTGTTTTGTTTGCTGTTTGGGCGGGCGGTTGTGTTTTCTTTTTTGCTGTTTGGGCGGGTGGCGTGTGTATTTGTTTGCTGTTTGGGCGGTGTGCTTTTTTTATTGGCTATTTGGGCGGGGTGCGTTTTTTTGCTATGTGGGCAGGAGCGTGTTTTGCTTTTGCTGTTTGGGCGGGTGCGTGTTTATTTTGTTTGCTGTTCGGGCGGGATGCGTGATTTTTGTTTTGCTGTTTGGGCGGGGGTTCGTTTTTTTTTCTGTTTGGACGGGGGACGGGAGTTCACTCACTTACCGGTCTGC